GTCATACTTAGCATTTGTTGAAAACGAAAATTAAAAGAAAATAAAGGAGTATGCGAAAATAGAGAAAAAGAAGATTTTATTCTCAGATCTGTGTGTGAGCTCAGATGTCTCTATTCTTAGGCTTACCCTGAGAGGATATTTATAGCCTTCATATTCCTAAAAACAAGCTAAAGATAATTCCTAAAATAATATCTTTTATCCTAATTAAAACACTTAAAACTATTTAAACTAAAATACCTAAAACAAAGATAAAATAAAATAATATTTAAAATAATATCCTAAATCCTAATTGAAATGCTAACATCTATTTAAACTAAAATAAAAAGATAAAATATAATATTAATATATATACTAAATAAGCCTCGGATGAAAATGAGTGTCTACAGCTACCCCTCTTTGTCCTTTTTCGTGTAACAAAAAATAGGACAAACATAAAAGGACACAAATTTTCGTTCGGTAGTTGCGAATGAATTCTCTGTCGTGAAGCTTCATGTTGTTCAGAATTTGAATTGAATGTGGATTCTTGTGGCCAAATCGTAGTCAACCTTGGTATGCTTTTCGGTTTAAAGACCTCTGTTTGCAAATTCAACCAGAAAGTAGTTCCTTGATGCTATCGTATCATTGATATGCCCTCGAGCTGAATGGAATCGAACTCGAAGGTTTTTGTTGACAGATAGCCCTTCTCACCTTGAGATATGTTGTGACTTAGGTTAGGAGATAGTTCCTTGTTGTTGCAAATGACTCATTTGTTGTGGAATTGAGTCGATCCATTGGGCACAATATCCTTCTTCATGAATTTGAAATCATGTGTGGTTCCTTCATTATTAAGTTGAGCTATGAACTGAAAAAACTTAAGCAGGATATCCTTCGTTGTGAAGTTGAAACAGGACTCAAAGCATTGGAAAGTTACTCCTAGATCGTCTTCTAGCCCAATATACTTCGTCGTGAAGCTGAAATTTGACCTGAAGACTTTGGCATGAAACTGGTTTTTCATTGTTGTGTTATAGATGACTCATTCATTGGGAAGTTGGGTCAATCTTTTGGGTACGATAATCTTCATTGTGAAGTCAAAATTGTAGGTGGCTCCTTCGTTGTGAAGCTGAGCTTTAAATTGGATATCCTTCATTGTGAACTTGAAATCCAATCTTGTAAATTGAATCGCTTTGAGATTAATATATTTCGCTGTGAAGTTGAAATTATGGATAGCTCATTCGCTGTGAAGTTGAGTTTTGAATTGGATGTCCTTCGTTGTGAAGTTCAAATCTAATCTTGAAAATTGCATTGGTTCGAGTTTAATATCCTTCCATGTGAAGTTGACATTGACTCTAACAAGAATAATTTGGAGGGAAATCTTCAATCTCTGGTTGTCAGTCCTGATGACTCTTGATTCTAGAATCTTGAATTTCTGATCTTGATCTTGGATTCTCCACCATGTTTAAATCCGATGTATAGAATTTTATTTCTAGTCTTGGTTTGGGCAATGCCTTTTATTTACCTCAGGTATGGTGCATAAGCCTTGATCGGCTTCCAAATATCTTCTAGAAACTGCCACGTCAAACCGTGTCATGCCCAGAGTCGTGCCCATGTCTCCAGCCGTGACCAAATAATAAAAAAATTGCATAATGCCTTCATTTTAGAGCAATTTCTAGAATTTGACACCCTACACAGAAAATGAATTAAAACGAACAAATAAGCCACAAAAAATCAATGATTAAGGAGTAATTTAAAAGCAAAATATTAACTAAATTAAGCACTTATCAAATTCTCCCTCACTTATTCAATGCTTGTCCTCAAGCATTCCTCAATTAACCTATCAAAATCATAAGTCGTCATCTTCAATTTCAATTTATTCCTCAAACTTCCAATTGAAATAAGTCCACGACATTTGCCGAATTCAAGTTACAATCAAGCAAAGACAAAACTAGGAAAATTTGAAGTAAGCAAGACATCCCAATTAATTTTCAATTTCAATGAAACATGACTCAATACCTCACAAAAATTCACACATATCCGGTCAAAGTGTTTGGGGTGAATGAAATCGCTCAAACCGAAGCTAACCAAAACATTACCATAGACTTGAAAACTAAAAAAATGAACATAATGCAAAAATCAAGGGTCTTTAAGCAACGTGTAATGGGGCTTAGATTAGGGTAGGGAAAAGGCCAAAAAGGAAGGTTTAAAATACCAAAACAAGAGATCAAAATAATTAAGAACAATCCATGAATTAATATGAAGCGCAATAAAAAACAAAACAAGGAAAAAGAATAGATGAAAGACGATTGAAACTATCAATTTTTCCTTCCCTTTTTTTGAACAAAGGGTTTTTTACTGTTCGAAACAGTGAACAACTTGTTTTTTTCGAAACAATGATTTTTTTTCTTTTCTTTTTTCGTAGAACAAGAGTGATACAAGATCTCAAGTCTCAGTAAGGGTGTGAAAAGAGAGGAAAAATAAAAAGAAAGGCTTCGGGTTTAATTGAGGTGTAAAACAAAGAAAGAAAAATAGGCTCAAATGTGGTTCCCTAGTGGATATGTAAATGGGTAGGCTTTTTGGGAAAAGTAGGTTTATCATAGGTTCCCCTATCACATTAAAACATTACGTTCAATATGTAGTCTCGATATGCATTATGATTACAAGTTCTAGAATATCCTAATTAGTTCGGCACACACAAGTCAAACAATGAGCAAGAAAGAAAATGTATGCTCGTTAGGCTCAAACCTCACAAGAAAAGTTTATATGCATTGTGTCAAGTTCATCTCTATTAACAAAAGCATGAAATATCAATACTCAACAAAAAATTCACCAACTACATCAATCACCAATCATGCAAATTAAATTCGATCAAAACATGATCATAATCCAAAAGGAAGCAAAAGTATAAAGTGAAATTCGAGACTAGCAACCAACGATCCCAACACATCAATATCAGAATATCTCAATTTCAAACAATCAAATAAGTCAAGGAAAAAATTGACATGCTTATCCTTCCCCCCTCACGTACTCTATTTTGTCCCAAAACGTATGTCGAATTTAAAAACAATGTAAGGGAAAAGGAATACTCTCCAATCTAGTGGCGAAAAACTTTGGACCATTTCTCAATTTGTGCGTGTCATCTTTGCGCATGGGCCATGCTAATCTTCGTCTGGGAAGTCAAAGTCTAGTGGCTCGTAATTTTCAGCAGTTCTACTTGCCAAGAAATCTGATATGTCACTTTCTTTTATAGCTTTTTGGCTCATGTACTCGATGTCAACTTCAGATAATAGCATCTGCCATTCGGCTTTTCGACGAGAGGATATCTGACCTTGCAATCAATGAACTTCTTGCTTTGGTAGTAAATGGCTCTTTCCTTCCTCACGGATTCATCAAGTTGACCTAAAACACACCCCCATTGAATTCTCGAATATGGATAAATAGAAGAATAGAGGTTTACCCTCAATGGGGGATATTAAGATAGGAGTGCAAGATAAGTATTTTTTTATTTCCTCGAATGCAGTCTGTCAATCCTCTTCCATGTTCTAGAGTTATTTTTTTCGAAGAATACAGAAATTGGGTCGCACTTGTCAGTCAATTGAGATATGAATCGTGCTATGTAATTTAACCTGCCCAGAAAACCTTAAACCTCTTTTTGTGTTTGTGGGAGAGGTAAATTCTAGATGGCTTTGACTTTATCTGGATTGACTTTGATACCTCTCCTGCTGACCACGAAGCCTAACAGCTTTCCGGATATTATCCCGAAGGTACATTTTATTAGGGTTCAGTTTCAGCTATAGCTTTCTTAATCTTTGAAGGAGCTTTCTCAGATTCTCGATATGTTCATATTCGGTTTGTGCTTTGATATCATGTCATCGATATAAACCTCGATTTTTTTTATGCATCATGTCATGAAACAAGGTCATCATGGCTCTTTGATATGTTGCCCCAACATTCTTTAGTCCGAAGGGCATCATCTTGTATTGTGAAAAATGTGGTCTTTTCCATGTCCTCAGGATGCATCTTAAACTGGTTATATCCTGAGAATCCGTCCATGAATGAGAAGAAAGTGTTCCCAGCAGTATTATCCACCAAAGTATCTATGTGTGGTAGAGGAAAGTTATCTTTAGGACTCACCATGTTAAGGTCTCGGTAATCAACACACGTGTACTTTTCTGTCTTTCTTTGGAACCGACACTATGTTAGCCACCCATTCCGGATACTAGGCTACTTGAAGGAAGCTGACATTGAATTGTTTCTTGACCTCTTCCTTGATCTTAAGGAGCATTTTAGGTCCCATTCTCCTTAGATTTTGTTGCCCAGGTTTGCATTCTGGTTTGATAGGCAGTTTGTGGACTATTATATATGTATCTAGTCTTGGTATGTCTTGATACGACCATGCAAACACATCTTTGTTTTCTTGAAGTAAGAATATTAGGTTTTATCTTGCTTCAGTTGAGAGAGGTGTGCCAATTTTGACTTCCTTTCTCTCATCATATGTAACCAGATTCAGGACTTCGATTTTCTCTTTATGTGGAAATATTTGCTTGTCTTCTCTTTCTATCATTCTTAATAATTCAGAAGGTAAATTGCATTCTTATTCATTGTCACATTCATCAACTTCCCCAAGATAAACGAACTGTTCAAAATCCACTTCTGGGTCAGTATCATCAATTCCTGCATTATCATTATCTTGGGACTCTGAAATAAATTTGAAACCCACATGTAATTCTTCAGTCTTCCATTTTCTAAGCATCGATCCAGGTTTCAAAGGGCAGATTCTTGACCCGTCCATATTTTCGACATTCTCTGCGGTTATAGCGTTAATACTCAAATCTTTCAAGCCAACCTCTAAATCCGGTGAAGCCGTCCCAAACTCATAATCACCGGATTTAAATGTTTCATAAAAAAGTGGAAAACCATGAGTTCCCATTAAAATTCACTCCCATTTAATCTGGCCAATCTTTTTTTCGATTTTTCTGAATTTTCTTCCACTTTTGTTGTTGACTGGGCCTAAAACCAAGCCCGAACTAGTCTAGCTTTGTTATAGGAAGGACATGATTGATCCTTTCTTGCAAGAGACTCCCAAATCCTCTTCCCACCTTGGCACCTCTTCCCAAGGTCTGTTTGATATCCATTTTAGTGTATTTGGAGAGTCGGGGTTTGGAAATCTTTCCTCTTTCAGCCGCAAATATAGCATTCACAAACTATAAAGAGCGGAATGAATATTCTACTGCTTCATCAGTTATGTCTATGTATGGGGCGTTAGTAGTCACACTTTCCACAATATCTTCTTTATCATTAACAATTACTATAGCCCCGTCGATGACAAACTTGACTTTCTGGTGCAACGTAGACGGTATTGCTCCAGCTTGATGGATCCAAGGCTTGTGGAAGTATATCTGATGTTAGTTCCCTCTTCTGATGAGACATTTTATGTTAGTTAATGAGAATGTAAAGAAATGAAAATAACAAAATGCAAAGTATGCATGATGCATGGAATGTTCGAGGAATTTATCTAAAAATATGTTTATTATTATGAATAATCTTTATTGGGACAAAAGTGTTATTTCTTAAGAGACAAAAACCTCCTAAAGGTACATTCTAACTAAGTCTTCTAGACCCCAAACAACTTCTAATAGGTTGATTAGTCTTTTGCCTTCGTCTGCCACCGGTTGAATATCCTGTTGAACCACTCCAGCTTCTCTGGCTAAACCGTGAAAGTGTTGAGCTGCTTTTTGTACTTGTTCCAAAAAGTCTCGAATGACTGCATCTCTGGCTTTTATCCTTTTCTTAACCTCTTCACAACAAAACACCATTGGAAACTTCCATCAAATGGAACTATCTGAAACTCACTTGCTTGTTTCTTGAACCCGTCCACAATGGCCTCCAACTCAGCTATGGTTTTGCTAACATGTTCTCACTGTTTCTGAAGTGATTCCTCTAAACCAATTATCTAGATCCTCAAATATTTATATTGGTATTGGTTGTCTAACAAACGTCTCTGAGAAGTCTTTAGCAGTTCTTTCAAGGTCTCTCTTTCATCCTGCCCCTAAAACTTCCTTTTTCAGGCTGCTAGCTTCACTTTTCCAGTATTTAGAAGACATATTCAGATTGGAATTGTTCTGAACTTGTTATTCATACCCTTTTCTTAAATCCTCAAGCTCAAAACAAATTTTCTTCTATTCCCTTTCTAACTTGTCTGCCCGATCCTTTTGAGTATCAGCGTCCAACTTCCACTGGAATCTTTCAGCCTTGAGTTCCCTTAGACTTTGTTTCAGCTCCTACTTTTCAGTTTTAAATTCTTTTCTTGCTATCTCTAGCTCGGAGAGAACTTGCTTAATATTTTCTTCCATAGTTTGAGTGTCTTCATGGTCTGGCACTGGGATGGTGTCATTTTTCCTTAATCTCTGACATTCTAAATAGTCTGGAGTAAGCATGTCCTTAGTGGTCAAGACATCCATACGGAACATTTTTTCCATGACTCAGTTACTTCTTTGACCTTTTTCTTGTAGTTATCCCCATGATATGCAAATTCTGATCCAGATATTCCATGTGTTGTTAGGACAAACTGGTGTGCCCCATACTGTCGAAGTGCCAAAAGTGGAGTGTACCTGACTCCTCCCCATAATCCAAATAATGTCATAGTTTCTGAGTTTCCACATCGAAAAAGAATGTCACTATGGATTAACCAAAGGGCTCTCTAGACAAATCCCTATCCTGAAGGTGTGTGAATACCTTTATCTATTTTTCTTTTGGGACACCTTCTTGCCATTTCAGGTGAGGAATTCCCCTAAAGGAGAATAACTGGTTCTGAATCGACGGTAAGAAAAAAATTACTATGGATCCAAACTTGGAGAAGTGTGCACACCCTATAAATATTCCTCTGCTAGTCTTTCTGTAGTGGTTGAGAGAGTGAAAAGTTCCAGCTAAAATTGTTGGTGTTGGATTTACTCATTTCAAGAGTTGTTCGAATAGTTCCACCACAGCTGCCTTAATATATCCTAAAGTCTTTGGGAATGTAACCAAACCATAAATGCCCAGTGCAAAAAGGTTCATTACCTTTCATTCATCGAGGTGATTCTTCATTAGTTTCTTGATATGGGTCTAAGCAATTCCTTCCCCAATACATTTATGTTGAATCCGACCAGTTACCCATTTCTCATCTACCCCCACCAGTTTTGCCAATCCGTTCTTGAAAAGTTGACTTTTGATGTGTTTGATGTTAACCCGATCCATTCTCATTCCTTTTCAATGCAACAAAGCAGTATATTCTTTGATTGTGGGTACCATGTCTTCTTGGTTAAATGTGAAGAAGATGTACCCTGAATTCCAGAATTATACTAGGGATCGAATTAGGGGCTCATCTGTCTTGACATATAGTAGAAGTGCAATATCACCATACCGCTGGAAGAACTTCCTTTTCTGGTCATTTTTCCAACTATCCCAAAATGTTCTGTAGTTATTGAATATCGTTCTGCTTTAGGCTGACAAAAACATAGCCAGATCTGATACATATTTTTCTTACAGACTGTCTCCTTTTTTCTTTCTGAGTCTTTTCGAACCATAGTCGTACCTTGGCATTTTTCACCTCTTGCATTACAACCCCTTCGTCCGTTAATGCAGATTATTTGTGTGTAACAAATATTTTTTTTTGTGGATCAATTACCTCTTTTTATGATGCAAATAATAAAGAAAACATGAAAGAAAAATCAGTTAGTAAGATAGAAATAATATAATAATAAAGTAAAAAAATAATAAGTTGCATGATAAAAGTAAAAACTTTCTACGTTTTGGAATGGAGTTTCGAGGTAGGCTCTAATTCCCTGTAGTCTCCCGATTTAGGTTCTAAAAGAATGTACCCGAGTTCTCCTTGCTGGTGCCCCCTTGGGCTTGCCAGACCCTCAGTCCTAAGCTCATTACAAGCTCATGTGGACCAAGTTAAACTCGAGAGGATACATTTCCTTATCTTCATACGGAGAATAAATTCACACGAAGACATACGGTATATAAATCCCGAAGGTTACTTGTTAGGCCTATACGGAGAATAAATTCCCACGAAGGCGTCGTTTTCACCTCCACTTAAGAAAAGGTTTGGAGCTCAGGTATAGAGCCTGAGATGAAAATGTTTAATAATCTGAAATAATTAAAAAAAACGTCAGTACAACTATTTATTTGAAAAATAATCAAAGGTAAGTAATAAAGATCAAAAAATTACATTAAAAATTAAACTTACAATTTTCACTTAAGAAGTCAACCTGAAATTAGTCTTAGCCTGACTCACTTACTTGTCCCCAGTGGAGTCGCAAAGCTGTCGTGACCGTCTTTCGAGTGGGCCCGTAATTGGGCTTTAACTTAAATAAATGGGTTAGAGTCACCACCGATCATTTATCTTTTTTTAAACATAAAAAAACTAGGTTGATCGGACACCTTCTTACCTAATTTTCGTTTTACATAAATATGTCAGATTCGGGAGTCAGTTACAGTCAATGAATGATTAACACCCTTGTAATGCCCTTTTGGTACTAATTTAATTTCCATTTGTCTTAATTAAAAAAATTGCAAGTTAAATTAAAAAGTAAAAATTCGATTCAAATTACTTATCGTTAATCGATTGAAATTGCCTCTAAAAAGTTGAAATCGTTAGATTATAAAATAAAAGAAATATCAAATAAAAATTAAAATAAAATAAATCAAAGAATGAAATATTAAATTTTAAAAATGTTATATAAAAAATGTTTAAAAAATAAAATAAATGAAGAAAATATTAAATTTCATAAAAGAAAAATAAAAAAAATATAAAAAAATATTAAAAGAGAAAATAAAAATAAAATAAAATAAAATAAAATAAAAAATAAGTGGAAAAATAAAAATAAAACAAAATAAAATAAAGTATTAAATAAAATAATAAATAATAGTAGTAAAGATAAAAAGGGTTTTTAAAAGTTGTTTTTAAAATAAAAGATAAGAATTAAATAAAAGGAAATAATTAAATAAATAATCTAAAGAGATTTAGATAAAGATAAACTTATAATGAAAGCAACCTCAGACTTCAGTTTTGCTACAAATTCATCAGGTCATCGAAACAGATCTTTACTTCAAAATTCACGTCGGCTTATAAGGATAATTCTTCGCTACCGACTCGGATTATGTTGTTTCAACTATAACTGGTTTCGATCTCAGTTTCTTTTTAGCAAACAATTTTGCTAAGTATGTTCTCGGAAAGCCGATTATGCTTCAATAAGCCAATCCTCCTTACAATTCTCACATTTGGAATTGAGTCTTTGCTTTAGCCCTTGGCTTAAAAGAAAATTAGCTAAACATGACCAAAGTCATACTTAGCATTTGTTGAAAACAAAAATTAAAAGAAAATAAAGGAGTATGTGAAAATATAGAGAAAACTAGAGAGAAAAAGAAGATTTTATTCTCAGATCTGTGTGTGAGCTCAGATGTCTATGTTCTTAGGCTTACCCTGAAGGGTATTTATAACCTTCAAATTCCTAAAAACAAGCTAAAGATAATTCCTAAAATAATATTTTTTATCCTAATTAAAACAATTAAAATTATTTAAACTAAAATACCTAAAACAAAGATAAAATAAAATAATATTTAAAATAATATCCTAAATCCTAATTGAAATACTAACATCTATTTAAACTAAAATACAAAGATAAAATATAATATTAACATATATACTAAATAAGCCCCAGACGAAAATGAATCTCTACAATAAGCATACATATTATTTTATGTTTTCTTTACGCATTACAATATCATTTAATAATTTAAGTATCGCACGAACCAAACTACCTCATGGTTAAGGGAATGATTGTTACTCCTAGAGGTTACAAAGTTAGAGCACTAGAATATAGGGTATTTGAGTATTCATTGTCAAATGGTTGAGAGTTTTTATAACATTTGTTACCACTTGTAAGCATCCTAAATTAATAAAAGAAAAACTCAAGTATCATCTAAAATTATAAAATGTATTTATAATTTTGGTTTTTAAATATATTTTTGTGACAAAGTATCAATAAGAATATAAAGGAGTCAAAAATTGATGGAGAGAATAAATTTATAAAAAAAATACATCAAAAATCAAATTGTATAAAATGTAAACTTGAGGAATTAAATTGAAAAAAAAATATATTGTTAAAAATATGAATTGAAGTTATATAAATATTTTATAATGTTAAAGGAACATATGATTCAAATTTGATAAAAAAAAATGGAGTTAAAATGACAAGTGAACTAAGAGTGGGAATAAGTATTTGAGTTACTTGAGTTGATTCAAATAAAAAAATTTGGAATTAGTCCAATTGTCGAGTCATACTTTATTATTTAAATTTTATTTTACAAAAATTGAGTCGAATTGAATTTATGAAATTTGAGTCACTCGAATCAATTTTTTTAATAGAATT